GTTAACCCCCGCGTGCCCGCAGGCGAGTTCGTGGCGCAGTTCAAGTTCACGGTGCTGCTGATGCCCAACGGGCCCATGCGGATCACCAGCGGCCCCTTCCAGCCCGAGCTCTACCGCTCCCACCTGGACGTGCAGGACGGCGAGCTCAAGGTGGGCCCTCGTTAATATTCACTGATCATGCAAATTAGCTGGCCCTCAAAGCGTAAAATTAATTAAAATATTTAGAGAAAAAAAAATTAATATCTCATTCCCGCCTATTTAGTGTTTTTGTCCCTTATATTAATTTTTAATAGTTATATATAAGGTTGGTTCCTCATTAATATTCATCAATTATGCAAATTAGCTGGGCATCTAAGCATAAAATTAATTAGAATATTCATAGGAAAAAAAACCCCATATTTTATTCCTGCCTATTTAGTGATTCTGTCCCTTATATTGATTTTTTAATAATTATATCTAAGGTTGGCTCCTCATTAATATTCATCAATTATGCAAATTCGCTGTCGATCTAAGCATAAACTTAATTAAAATATTCTTAGGAAAAAAAAAGTCAGTATTTTATTCGTACCTCTTTAGTGTTTTTGTTGAGTTTTAATAGTTCTATTTAACGTTGGCTCCTCATTAATATTCATCATTCCTAATCAGATTGTGCAAATTAAAATTAGTTTCTATTCCATAAAAAATACTAATAGAAAAAAATGATATTTTATTTGTATCTATTTAGTGGTTTTGTAATTTATATTGATTTTTAATAGTTATTTTTAAGGTGGTTTCTTATTAATATTCATCAGGTTATGCAAATTAGGTGTCCATGTGAGCATAAAATTAATTTGTTTCGATTTCCATATAAAATATTCATAGGGAAAAATCAATATTTTATTCGTGCCTATTTAGTGGTTTTGTTACTTATATTGATTTTTAATAGGTTGGTTCCTCATTTATATTCATCATGAATTTGTTATTATTAGCTGATTAACAACCTAAGAATTTAAATTAATAAATGAAAGATTAATACCTGACTTTAAAATTAAATAAATTAAAAATTAATATGTTAATAATTTATTTGTTAATATATTCCTCTTTATTATTAATTTATTGTTATACACTGATTAGCAAATTAAGAATTAATTGAAGTTAATAAATCAAATACTGCTAATTAATAAAGCAGCACCTCCTGGGGATCAAGTAAATGGAACCAAACCCCGAAAATGACCAAAAAATTCCCATTATCCCCCCAAAAAATCAAATTATTTCCCAATTTCTCTTTTCCAGGCCCTTCTACAAAGCTCCGCCAGCCGCAAGACCCAGAAAAAGAAGAAAAAAAAGGTAAAATTTGGGCAATTTTTATTTGGCAATTCCTAAAATTTGAAATTTTTGGGTTTTTTTTGTGGGAAAAATCCCTAAACTATTTGGATTTTTCCTCCCCAGGCTTCCAAAAACGCTGAAAACGCCACCACAGGGGAGACGGCGGAGGAGAACGAGGCGGGCGATTGAAAATCCTCAAATCGTCCTTTTTTTCCCCAAAAAAAAAATTAAAAAATTTTAAAAATCCCCCCAAGAAAAACCCTAAAAAATTCCATCTGGAAAGGAAAAAATTCGATGTTTTTTCAGGCAGTTTGGAATTCCCACAACATCCAACAGCTCCCGAGGAGGGAGGAATTTTTTGGTCAAAATTGAAAAAAAAAAAATTGAATTAAAACACCCCCAAAAAAGCAGCAAAACAAAACAAAACAAAACAAAAAATTAGGAGTGAAAATCACTTTAAAATCCTAAATATTCCCCATATTTTGAGAGGTGAATTTGGAATATTCATCCTCCTGCTGCTTTTTTTTAAAAATATTTGTTAATTTTTCCTTTTGGGACTTTTCACCAAAAAAAAAAATAAATTTAAACTCAAATTATTCCATCCAGAAAATTGAAATAATTCAGGATTTTGTCTTTTTCATCTTTAAAAATTGGGAAAAACATTCAATTTTTATATAAAATTTAAGTTCTTCCTCCCACCATAACCCACCAGGAGCCTTTTTTCTGCCTTTGCCTTGATTTCTGGGATTTCACAAAAAAAAATAAAATAAAAAAATCACTATTTTTTAACAAAAACTGGTTTTTAAAAATAATCCAAACCAACATTCCGACCTTGCGGAGTTAAATTCCTTAAAATCCCGGGGTTGGGTGTTTTTTATCCTTTTTAATATCCCCGACAGCAAATTCCAATTTTTCCCCTGTGAAACAGAAAATAATTTTAATTTTTTTTCATTTTTTCCCTCAAAATTTTTTGCTATTTTGGAGGAAAAAATTTTTAAAAAATTAAATAAAAATCCCATTAAAATTCAGAATTTTTCAGGGGAAAAGTGAGGGAAGAGCTGATCCGGGATAAATCCGAGAACCGAGGGGTATCGCTATTTTATAGTCGATTTTTTACATAAAAAAAGCAGAAAAAATGAGAAAAAAAACCGATTAAAGTTGAATATTTGAGGTTTTTTTTTTCTTTCTCGATACCCCCGGTTTATTTTTCCCGCTTTACCCTCAATTTTTTGGGAATTCTGATTTTTTTTTCCCGGGTTTTCTCCGCAAGCCGCGGGTTTTTTTCCTCATCAAAATCTGAATTTTCCAGCCCGAAAAAATAAAAATAATAAAAAAAATTAAAAAAAAATATAAAATAAAAACTCCACACGTGCAAATGTTACCAAAGTGAAAATAAAAAAAAGAATAAAGGATGTGATATTGGATTTTATTCCGGGTTTTTTTTTTTTTATGAATTCTGTTTTTCTCTGGGGATTTGGGATTGGGGGGTGGAAACGGGGTTTTTGAGGGAAAAATGGTAATTTTTGAAGGGAAAATGGTAATTTTTGAAGGGAAAATGGTAATTTTTGAGGGGAAAATACTAATTTTTGAGGAGAAGATGATTATTTCTGAGGGGAAAATCCTCATTTTTGAGGGAAAAATTATAATTTTTGAGGGGAAAAACTTGCATTGAAGGGAAAAATAAATAATTTTAGGGGAAAATTCTCATTTCTGAGGGGAAAATATCATTTTTAAGGGGCAAACCATCAACTTTTAAGGAAAATCCCCTCATTTTATTGAAAAAAACTGATTTTGGGGGGAAAATGTAAAATTGATGAGGAAAGCTCATTTAGAGGGGAAAAAAATCTATATTTTAAGGTAGAAATATTCCTTATTTTAAGGGAAAAAAAACTCATTTTGAGGGGAAAATCTTATTTTTGAGGAAAAAAACCTTTATTTTGAGGGGAAAAAAAACAAATTTTGAGAAGAAAAAACCAAAATTTGAGGGGAAAACCCCCTTATTTTCAGGGAAAATAAATGTTGAGGGGGAAAAATTCCGTTTTGAGGTCAACTCCCTGTATTTTGCAGGAGTAAAAATCTCATTTTGAGGGGAAAAAAAACTTTCTTAATGGGAAAAAAAAGCAAAACTTTAAATTTTAAATCAGGAGACAGCAGCAAAAAAGCTTTCCCAATCCTCAGCAAGGATCTAAAAACCGCAGAGAGTCGCCGGAATTTTATTTAATTTTCTATTTTTTACCTTTCATGCTACAATATAAAAATATTTTATATTTTTACTTGAAAGGAGATTCTCCGGAGGGGCTTGGGCATGCAACAACAATCCCGTTAAAGCCTTGGATAAGCGAAAATTGTTGAATAAAAAATTAAATTTGTTGGTTTTATTTAATTTATTTAATTGAGGGGGGGGACCGAACCCCGCGGCGGCGCAAAATGGCGGCCGGGCGCGGGACTACAACTCCCATGATGCTCCGGCAGCGAGGAACTACAATTCCCGCCGTGCCTCGCGCGACGGTGGGCGTGGCCTGAGCGCCTCCCTATAAATAGGCCCCACCGGGCGGCGCGCGCCCCTCTCGGCCGCCGCCATCTTGGTGCTTCCCCGGCGCCGCCGCCGCCATCCGGCTCCATCCGCCGCCATCCGCCGCCCCCCGCCCGCCGGGACTGAGCGGGGCTCCGCCGGAACGCCATGAGGGCCAAGGTGGGCGGCGGGGGGCGGCGCTGGGGCGGCGGATGGCGCCTCGGTAATGGCCGGGCCTGGATGGGGTCGGTGCGGGTGGGGTGAGGCCTGGACGAGCCCTGGGGTGGGGGGTGTGGGGTCCCTGGGGGTGTCTGTGCTGGGAGGAACTGCGGGGGAACTGGGAGGACTGGGAGAGAGAAGGCAGTGTGGGACTGGGGGAACTGGAGGCGCTGGGGGAGCTGGACCAGTTTGGGACTGGGGCACAGAGAGCTGAACCAGTTTGGGACTGGGAGAACCAAACCAGTCTGGGACTGGGGGCACTGGGAGAACCAAACCAGTNTGGGACTGGGGGCACTGGGAGAACCAAACCAGTTTAGGACTGGGGGCACTGGGAGAACCAAACCAGTCTGGGACTGGGGGCACGGAGGGAAATAAACCAGTACGGGACTGGGTGAACTGGTGGGACTGGGAGCACAGGGGGCACTTGTGGGAACTGGAGCACTGGTTTTACTGGGAGCACCGGGGGACACTGATTGTCCTGGTGGCACTGGGAGCACTGGTGGGCATTGGGGGGGCACTGGTTGTACTGGGAGCACTGGCGGGCACTGGTGGGCACTGGTTTTGCTGGGGGCACAGCTGGGCACTGGTGGCACTGGGAACACTGGTTGTACTGGGGAGCACAGGTGGGCACCGGGTGGCACTGGGAGCACTGCTTGTACTGGTGGGCACTGTTATACTGGTGGGAACTGGGAGCACTGGTGGCACTGGGAGCACTGGTTGTACTGGTGTGAACTGGGGGCACTGGTGGGCACTGGGTGGCACAGCCGGGCACCGTCTGTACTGGTTATACTGGGAGCACTGGGAATGCCGGCTCTCACTCCTCTCCCTCTCTCTCTCTCTCTCCCCCGCAGTGGCGTAAGAAGCGAATGCGCAGGTGAGTGACCGAGAGCCCCCGGTGCCTTCCCGGTGCCCTCCCGGGGCTCCCGGTGCCTTCCCGGGGGCTGCCGGTACACCCCGGTGCCCTCCCGGTGCCCTCCCGGGGCTCCCGGTGCCTTCCTGGGGGCTCCCGGTACCTTCCCGGTGCCCTCCCGGGGCTCCCGGTGCCCTCCCGGGGCTCCCGGTGCCTTCCTGGGGGCTCCCGGTACCTTCCCGGTGCCCTCCCAGGGCTCCCGGTATCTTCCCGGTGCTCTCCCGGGGCTCCCGGTGCCCTCCCAGGGACTCCCGGTACCTTCCCGGTGCCCTCCCGGGGCTCCCGGTACCCCCCGGTGCCCTCCCGGTACCTCCCGGTATCTTCCCGGGGGCTCCCGGTACCTTCCCGGTGCCCTCCCGGGGCTCCCGGTGCCCTCCCGGGGGCTCCCGGTGCCCTCCCGGGGCTCCCGGTACCTTCCCGGTGCACTCCCGGTTCCTTCCCGGGGGCTCCCGGTGCCTCCCGGTGACGCCGCCGCTCTGTCCGCAGGCTGAAGCGCAAGAGGAGGAAGATGAGGCAGAGGTCCAAGTAACGGCCGGTACCGGGGGCACGGCCCGGAGACGCCCCCGGTGCCCCGGGGCTGTCCCGGTGCCCTCCCGGTGCCCCGGGGCCGTCCCGTTCTTTGCTTTGCGGCAAAATAAAATTCGGTTGTTGCTAAAACAGCGTGGGGGTGCTCTGCCGGTAACCGGGGAGGGGCTGGGGCGGGGGGGGGGAACGAACCGGGGATCCCCCGGTAACGGGGCTGGAAGGAACCGGGGATCCCCCGGTAATGGAGCTGGGGGTGAAACCGGGGAATCCCGGTAACGGGGCTGGCGGTGGAGCTGGGGGTCCCCCAGTAACGGGACACCGGAGGGGGACCGGGAATCCTCCGGTAACGAGATACGTGAGCGGGACCAGGGTGGTGATAACTCCGGTAACGAGACGCGGGACCGGGGATGGGAATCCCCCGGTAACGGGACCGGCGGTGGGAATGCTCCGGTAACGGGACCGGGGATGGGAATCCCCCGGTAACGGGACCG